CAGTTCCAGTTCCAGTTCCAGTTCCAGTTCCTCCCTCTCCCTGCTGCTCCTCTTCCTCTCCTTGTCTGTCTGTCTGTCGGTTGTTGTCTGTGATCATGGCCACAGCTGGAAAGGTGAGTTGACTCTTTATTCTGGTGAGAACATGAAGGTTCTGTTTGATCTGCTGCAGGTGAGCGAACCTGATGGTTTCAGTAAACGCTGTCCACTTTCTGCCCCTCTGCCTTTCCTCCCCTCTGCCTTTCTTCCCCTCTGACTTTCTGCCCCTCTGACTTTCCTCCCCTCGTACTTTCTGCCCCCTCTGACTTTCTGCCCCCTCTGACTTTCTGTCCGTCTGACTTTCTGCCCCCTCTGACTTTCTGTCCGTCTGACTTTCTGCCCCCTCTGCCTTTCTGCCCCTCTGACTTTCCTCCCCTCGTACTTTCTGCCCCCTCTGACTTTCTGTCCGTCTGACTTTCTGCCCCCTCTGCCTTTCTGCCCCTCTGACTTTCTGCCCCTCTGCCTTTCCTCCCCTCTGCCTTTCTTCCCCTCTGACTTTCTGCCCCTCTGCCTTTCCTCCCCTCTGCCTTTCTTCCCCTCTGACTTTCTGCCCCCTCTGCCTTTCTGCCCCCTCTGACTTTCTGTCCGTCTGACTTTCTGCCCCCTCTGCCTTTCTGCCCCTCTGACTTTCTGCCCCTCTGCCTTTCCTCCCCTCTGCCTTTCTTCCCCTCTGACTTTCTGCCCCTCTGAATTTCTGCCCCCTCTGACTTTCTGCCCCCTCTGACTTTCTGTCCGTCTGACTTTCTGCCCCCTCTGCCTTTCTGCCCCCTCTGACTTTCTGTCCGTCTGACTTTCTGCCCCCTCTGCCTTTCTGCCCCCTCTGACTTTCTGCCCCTCTGACCTCTGGAACCGACGACTGTTCTGTTCTGACAGGTTTGTTATCAGGTGTAAAGATATTTGACTTGTACTTATGTACTTCTAAGTACGTTAGTAGTACTACTGCAGTGTTACTGTACTGTACGTGCGGTGGCTCATGGTTGTGGGTCATCAACCTCCAGGTCATCACCTGTAGGGCGGCGGTGGCCTGGGAGCCCAACAAGCCAATGGTGATGGAGGAGATCCAGGTGGCGCCACCACAGGCCGAGGAAGTCCGCATCAAGGTGAGAGACTTTATTACCGTAACGGACCAGAGGTGGGTTGTGGACCAGAGGTGGGCTCTGGACCAGAGGTGGGCTCTGGACCAGAGGTGGGCTCTGGACCAGAGGTGGGCTCTGGACCAGAGGTGGGCTCTGGACCAGAGGTGGGCTCTGGACCAGAGGTGGGCTCTGGACCAGAGGTGGGCTCTGGACCAGAGGTGGGCTCTGGACCAGAGGTGGGCTCTGGACCAGAGGTGGGCTCTGGACCAGAGGTGGGCTCTGGACCAGAGGTGGGCTCTGGACCAGAGGTGGGCTCTGGACCAGAGGTGGGCTCTGGACCAGAGGTGGGCTCTGGACCAGAGGTGGGCTCTGGACCAGAGGTGGGCTCTGGACCAGAGGTGGGCTCTGGACCAGAGGTGGGCTCTGGACCAGAGGTGGGCTCTGGACCAGAGGTGGGCTCTGGACCAGAGGTGGGCTCTGGACCAGAGGTGGGCTCTGGACCAGAGGTGGGCTCTGGACCAGAGGTGGGCTCTGGACCAGAGGTGGGCTCTGGACCAGAGGTGGGCTCTGGACCAGAGGTGGGCTCTGGACCAGAGGTGGGCTCTGGACCAGAGGTGGGCTCTGGACCAGAGGTGGGCTCTGGACCAGAGGTGGGCTCTGGACCAGAGGTGGGCTCTGGACCAGAGGTGGGCTCTGGACCAGAGGTGGGCTCTGGACCAGAGGTGGGCTCTGGACCAGAGGTGGTCTCTGGTTTCATACCTCACCTAGTACCACCGTACACATCTGTCAATGATCAAACCATCAAAGACGCACTGGGACCAGTACGGTCGTACCAGTTGATGTCTGTGACTGATGGTCCGCAGTTCAGGTGAAGGGGCGGAGCCTCTGTGCTCTCTACGTCCATCCTTGTCCGCTCTTCTTCTGTGCAGATTGTGGCGTCGGCAGTGTGCCACACTGACCTCTACCATCTGTTTGAGAGAATGCACAAAGATGGCTTCCCAGTCGTACTGGGCCACGAGGCCGCCGGCGTGGTGGAGAGCGTCGGACCAGGAGTGACGGAGTTTCAGCCAGGTAACTTCATCACTTCCTGGTTGACTCACGGACCAGTTCCTCCTGCTTCAGGTTGATGGTGTCTCTGACTTCCAGGAGACCATGTGATTCCTCTGTTCGTCTCCCAGTGTAGAGAGTGTCGCTTCTGTAAGAACCCCAAGACCAACCAGTGTGAGAGAGGATGGTGAGTCTGACTGTTGTTGCCACGGCGATCACCAGGAACAAAGACAGATGTTTGAGACAATACCAGAACCACAGACCAAAACATCACAGACCAATCATCACAGACAAAACATCACAGACCAAACCATCCCGGACAAAACATCACAGACCAAAACATCACAGACCAAAACAGCCCAGACCAAACATCACAGACCAATCATCACAGACCAAACACCACAGACCAAAACATCACAGACCAATCATCACAGACTAAACATCACAGACCAAACATTACAGACCAAAACATCACAGACCAATCATCACAGACAAAACATCACAGACCAAAACAGCCCAGACCAAACATCACAGACTAAACATCACAGACCAAACAATGCAGACCAAAACATCACAGTCCAAACACTGCAGACCAAACATCACAGACTAAACATCACAGACCAAGAATCACAGACCAAACATCACAGACTAAACATCACAGACCAAACACCACAGACCAAAACATCACAGACCAAACATCACAGACTAAACATCACAGACCAATCATCACAGACAAAACATCACAGACCAAAACAGCCCAGACCAAACATCACAGACTAAACATCACAGACCAAGAATCACAGACCAAACATCACAGACCAATCATCACAGACCAAACACCACAGACCAAAACATCACAGACCAAACAATGCAGACCAAAACATCACAGTCCAAACACTGCAGACCAAACATCACAGACTAAACATCACAGACCAAGAATCACAGACCAAACATCACAGACCAAACATAACAGACCAAAACATCACAGACCAATCATCACAGACCAATCATCACAGACTAAACATCACAGACCAAACATCACAGACTAAACATCACAGACCAATCATCACAGACAAAACATCACAGACCAAACAATGCAGACCAAAACATCACAGACCAAACACTACAGACCACAACATCACAGACCAAACACTGTAGACCAAAACATCACAGACCAAACATAACAGACCAAAACATCACAGACCAATCATCACAGACCAAACACCACACAGACCTAACCCAGACTGTCCGGGTTCCATAGTGCAGCGGTTAGCAGAGAGTCCTGGGTTCGATTCCCAGAGGATGCACTCCTGTAAAATGATTGACAGCTCGTATGTTGACCTGTTGACCTCAGGGCAGCGGAACGTTACGACGTCATGGCAGCGACTGAGTCCAGGTTCACCTGCAGGGGGAAGAAGGTTCTGCAGTTCATGGGAACCAGTACCTTCTCAGAGTACACTGTGATGAACCAGGTGTCTGTGGCTAAGATTGACCCCACTGCCCCCCTGGACAAAGTCTGTCTCCTCGGCTGCGGCGTCTGCACTGGGTTCGGCGCGGCGGTCAACACGGCTCAGGTGAGGCCCAGATGTTTCTCCACTCTGGTCTGATCTTCCATCTTAGCCTTCACAGACCAGGTGTGTTGGCTTCTGCTGCAGGTGGAACCAGGGTCCACGTGTGCCGTCTTTGGTCTGGGAGCCGTGGGTTTGGCCGCAGTGATGGGCTGTCAGTTTGCTGGAGCCAAGAAGATCTTTGCTGTCGACGTCAATCCAGAGAAGTTTGAGAAGGCCAAGGTGTTCGGAGCCACGGACTTCCTCAATCCTAAAGATTATGATCGACCAATCAGTGCAGTGCTGGCTGAGCTGACTGCTGGAGGAGTGGACTTCTCTCTGGAATGTGTTGGCAACGTGGAGGTCATGGTGAGTCTGCCGACAGTCGGTCTACGTCCAGATGAACTCTAACCTGACTCCAGAGAACTGCCGTTCACCCCTGTGGTCCTTCACTGCAGCGCAGTGCTCTGGAGTCCAGTGTGAAGGGCTGGGGGGTCAGTGTGCTGGTCGGATGGACGACGTGGCCACCCGACCTATTGTGCTGATTGCTGGACGTACATGGAAAGGCTCTCTGTTTGGAGGTGAGACAAATCACAGACCATCCAGTCCACACTGAGGAGGTTTAGCTCAATACCAATATTGGCCACCAGGTGTGATAAGGCAATTAGTAGCTCTACTAATGTTAGCTACGACAGTCCTGGTACAGACACCAGAGTTAACGTTAGCTACGGCAGTCCTGGTACAGACACCAGAGCTAACGTTAGCTACGACGGTCCTTGTGATAAATTATTGTAATGGTCTGGCGTGTGTGTTCCCTGTGAAGGTTTTAAAAGTAAGGATGGAGTACCTAAGATGGTCCAAGCCTACCTGGACAAGAAGGTGAAGCTGGATGAGTTCATCACTCACAACATGAGTCTGGAGCAGATCAATGAAGCCTTTGAAGTGATGAAGCAGGGCAAATGGTAAGGCTGATGTTGGTGCACACTGATCCACAGGTGAAAGTTGAATCTCTTGAACCCGTTTCTTCTTCTCTGTCTTTGTTTCTACAGCATCCGTACTGTCATCAGCGTTTCTCCACAGTAGCACCACCTATCTGTTTAACCTTTGACCCCTGGACACAGCAGTTAGAATGATCTGCTGTCACTTCATGTCGGTCCCTAACAACATATATATCCATGAAAATATCCTTTTCTCATTGTCCTTTATATTTCTGATGAGTTTGGACGGTACTTCCTGGTTCCAATGCTAACGATAGCTGCCGCAGTATTAGCATCTAAGAATGCTAACAAAACCATCAACATGTCAGTGTAAAATGGAAGGAAATAAAACCAGTCAACAAACACCTGTGGTTTCCTGTGATGTTTTGTAAAGGTAACTGATTCACATACTCAGTGTTCTGCAGTTACAGTTACAGTTACAGTTACAGTTACAGTTACAGTTACAGTTACAGTTACAGTTACAGTTACAGCTCAGGGCTCTTCATCCTCTTCATCCTCCTCCTTTGATACGACGGTCTCATGCCACCGTCGTCGTCTCTTATCGTTGTGCGGTGAATCATTCACCTGAAACAACTTCCATTCATTTCCCATCAGCCTTTGCAGCTGTGTGAAAACAACAGTTCCTTCAGCCCTGGTCCCTGGAACCGAGCTGCACTTCACTGTGTTGACATAAACGCTGAGTCATTGTTTGGAGTCAATGACAGGCCATAAAAAGAACTCTGCTTCAGTTTGGACCAAACATTTACGACTGACATAAAAAGTCACGTGTGTTTTTATTTGAAGTGAATTCTATCAACGTGACGTCTGTGATTCCACCTTAACTCTGGTACAGGTCTATCGCCCCCTTCTGGAACATAGCTTCAGTCCAAGCTTATCTTGCTGCTTTATATCCTATATATATATATATATATATATATACACACACATATATATATACATATATATATATATATGCACACACATGTACATATACACATATATATATATATATGCACACACATATATATATACATATATACACACACATGTACATATACACATGTATATATGTACATGTGTGTGCATATATATATATATATGCACACACATATATATATATATATACACACACATATATATATATATATATGCACACACATATATATATACATATACACATATATACATACATATACACATATACACATATATACACATATATATACATATATACACACACATGTACATATACACATATATATATATATATGTGTATATGTGTATATGTGTCAGTGGTCAGTCTTTTAAATTTTGACATGAAGAAGAAAATAAAGAAGAAAATGGGCAGCAGAAAGTTCTGGCCCAGTCCAGCCCAGCCCACATGGGCTGGGCTCTCTGTGATTGGCCGCCTGTAGATAAGACTCACCCTTCAACCTCAGCCTGTGGGGGGAGAGAGGGGGGAGTCTGCACTTCTTCATGGCGACTTCAGGGAAGGTGAGCGTGACGACTTCTTCTTCTGGGTTTTAATGCTGAAGGGTTACAAAAAGTTAGCAAAGCTAATGCTAACAGTCAGTTTGTGATGGGATGTTTACAGTCTGATGGGTTGGGGGGTGAGGGG